GAGGAGGTGAGGATGGAGGAGGTGAGGATAGAGGTGAGGATGGAGGAGGTGAGGATGGAGAGGGTGAGGATGGAGGAGGTGAGGACGGAGGAGGTGAGGATAGAGGAGGTGAGGACGGAGCGGGTGAGGATGGAGGAGGTGAGGATGGAGGGGATGAGGACGGAGGAGGTGAGGATGGAGGAAGTGAGGATGGAGGAGGTGGAGTCAGGGATGGAGGTTCATTTTGGTGTTGGTCAGGGCATGACCGTTGTGCTTGTGACATTAGGGTGACCGTGGAGTGACTGTTGGGCACAGGGCATATGCAGGGTGGCATGGAGCGCTGCAGGGTAGGGTGTCTTGGTGCAGCACTGCGGTGCTGCCTTTGTCCAGAGGCTGAGCATGTTGGGGCTCCCCGCTGGGCTTCTGACCGTCCACAGGTCTGTCCCTTCCTGGCTTCCAGATCCCAGCCAGCAGCCTCACTGGTCCCCTTGGTTCGCAGTGGGAGCTTAGGAAGTATCAGTGTGGCCAAGGGACAGTGCCCTGGCCTGGGGTGCCCCCATAGTGAGGTGGAGGGGACCGCGCAGGACCCAGGCCTCGGGAGCAGTGATACCCTTACCCCTCCCTGGTCACCCCTGTGCTGCCCCAGGCAGGGGCCCAGCTGTGGGAGCCGAGAGGGGCAGAGGAAGTGGCAGCCCACATGCTGGGGGAGCCTCCCTCTGGGCCCAGGGGGTCTCCACGGCGCTGGTGCTGTGACGGTCTGTGTGGTGCTGGCCACAGGTGCCCTCGCCCCAGGGGGTTCTTGGGAGTCCTTGGGCTGGAGCCTCCCCTGTGGCCCCCGGGTGGTGCAGTGGCCAGGCAGAGCCAGCTGCCTGCTGGCCTTGCGGAGGCCGAGCTTAGCAGCGTCTCTGGGGGCGAGGCGTGGGCGGGTGTGGCCTAGCACCCCAGCCCCGGGCCAGCTCCGGGCAGCCTTTATCGGGGGCCCCAGCTGTGGCCACGGGAAGTGGCTGTTTCTGCAGCACTGCGTCCCGTGGGGCCGTGATAAGGTGTGGCGGCGTGGGGGGTTGAGCAACACCCCGCGGAGGCCCGTGACCTGGGACCCGTGGCCTGGGTGGGCGGGGTGTGGGGCCCAGGCTGCCCTCCCGCTGGCCAGCACAGAGGCAGCCTCCATCAGCGCCGGGACAGATCCAGGGCCTCGGGCCAGTCTGTCCCCGCCCTGCAGCGCCCGTGCGCACACTCGGTCTGCAGCCTTCGCCAGCCTCCTCTCCCAGCTCCTGTCCGCCCAGCAGGGCCCTTCTCTGCTCCCCCACATCTAGCCAGCAGCACCCACCCAGGGGTCCCCAACCATGGCCTGCCCCTTTCGCTGGTGCTCACCCTGCGGGAGACCCCGGGGTCTCTGGAGTCTCCACCTGCCCCTCGCACATCGGCCCCCTCAGGCCCAGCATCCCGGAGCTCCCAACAAGCCTGGTGGCTGCACTGGGCCAATTAACGGCTCACTCTGTTACCAGCGTCCTCACCAATTATTCTTCCTAATCAGGCTGGGGTGTGGGGGCTCCTGTGGGCACGGCAGGCGGCGGACAGAGCCGTGGCCTTGCTCCTCCACAGGGGCAGGCTCCACCACTGCACCCTTGCCAGCCCTTCCTCCTCCAGGCCCCGTCCCCCTGCAAGCTTCTACTCGAGCTCCTACTCGCTTCAAGCCCTTGTCCAGGCGGCCCGGCGGGAGGCCTCCCCTCGCCCCAGCAGACAGCAGAGCACAGATGAGGCTGAACTAGCAGCAGGGCTTCTGGCACTGGGGCTGGCACCTAGGAATGCAGACCCCACATGGACACTGCCGGGGCAGAGGACAGGGACCTGGACCACCAGGGGCGCCAGGGTGAGCTTACCGAGCCGAGGGCCTGGGCCCTGGCATGCCCCTCTCGTATGGCGTGATAACCCCATCTCCTGTCCCCCAGGTCCTGGAGAAGATGCCCCCAACCTGAGTGCCACCCGTGTGTACTGGGCCTCCCACAGTGACACCCAGGGTGCGGGCACCTGCCCTGTCTGTGGACACAGACTTGGGGACACCTGCACAGGGATGCGTACGGACAACAGGGCAATAGGCAGGGAGGACAGAGGCTGCCCCTTCCCCTGCGCGGCTGGCCGCAGGGCTCCCTCGCATTATCTGTGGAAACTATATTAACCCAGAAGGCCGTTCCCATCAGTCTCGATTCCAGCGACATTTCCAGATAAGCCTTATCTCCCCGCAGCGCATTAGCCCTGGGCTGGTCCCCGCCTGCCACTCACAGCCGGCCCCAGCCCACCTCCGTGACTCCATTTTGCGTGGGCAGGGGCGGGATGGGGCACTGTGCCCTGCACCCCAAGCAGTGCCACGAGGACACTCTCAAGGCGCTGGGGCGGGGCTCCTGGGAGCCTGCAGCCTGGGTTCCAATCCCACTCCTGCCTGAGGCATTGATGCGCAGCCCCGACGGCTGCGAGGGTGGATGGGCACAGCCTGGTCTGTGGGGATGATGGCTGCTGGTGAGCTTGGCCCAATCGTCACCTGAGGAGTGGGAGCTGGAGGGGACACGCATGACCGCACAGCAGCCCCAGCTGGAATGGACAGCCACTTCCACACCTGCCCCCATCCCGGCCGTGTCCTACCTGTGAAGGCTGCATACCCTGTCCGACCCTACTAATGGGTGCTCCAGTTTCTGCTAATGCAAGCACGGCAGGGGCCTCTCCTGGCACAGTCCCTGCGTGTTCCCAGGCGCGGTGAGCAGGCCTCTTGCTGTCCACTGACGGGCCTAGGGGCTGTGGGGGTCCTGTGCTGGCTGCCCTCCCTGAGCACAGGTGTGGGGTCCCTGCTTCCATGCGCCTCTCCTGAACCCGCCCTCCTCCTGGAGCAACAGGTGGGGCTGAGGAGAGGGTGGTGTCACCTTGCAGAGGCCCTAGCGAGACGGCTGCAGAGCCACACAGGCTGCGCTGCCCTCATGGCCTGAGTCTTACTGCGAGAGGTGGTTGGTGCAGACCTGCTCCAAGCTGCAGGGAATGGCGTGGCCACCTGTGCCCAGGGAAGCCCCCACCCTAGAACAATCCTGTGCAGCAGCGCTGCTCTTGTCCCATTCCACAGCAGGGACACTGCAGCACAGGGCTCAGGGACTCACCCAGGGTCATGCATGTCATGCAGGGTAGGACCTGTGGCCGGCCCAGGGGACTCGGTCCCCTTCTATCCCCTGGGAGCCAACCAAGCTGAGAGATGTTGGCCACTGCCAGGATAAGCTACCCAGAGCCCTGTCCAGGACACAGCCTGTCTGTGCCAGGCTACTGTTCCCTGGGGTGGCGCAGCAGCTGACAGGTGTGGGCAGAGGGGCCTGGTGGGGACAGGCTGGCTCCAGCCCGCCGTGGCACGGCAGTGCACTGCCTTTCCAGGGGGTAGACTGCTGGCCAGGTGGAGCTGAGTCAGAGGGGCACAGCCTGTACACTTGGGCGGCAGCAGAGGAATCCCAGGAGGACCGAGGGGACCGAGCCATGCTGGTACAGGCCGTCTGCAGCAGCAGCAGGCGCAGTGGTGCACAGGACACACCCTGCTCCTCCGGGCTCACTCCAGCTGGCACCGACCTGGCAGAAGCGGGCACGTCAGGCCCCTGGTGGGCAGGGGTGGGGCCTGGTCCTTGTGGCCTGGCTGCAGAGCCCAGCCCAGCCACCCTCTGGCTCCCAGTGACCCCCCCCACCCCCCGCTGCCTGGGTTCTGGCCACGGCTGATGCCAGGTGGCCGGGCCGGCTGCCACCGCTGGCCTCCCTGCAGCGCGAGGGGCCTGGCTGTGTTTGATTAGGGGCCGCCTGGCTGCCTGGCCACTGTGCGCGGGACGCCGTGTTCCAGCTCCCTTCCCCTCTGCCCTCAGCTCCGGGCTTAACGGCCCCAAGTCATTTGATCGCAACCTGCCCCAGTTAATATTTTTAATGCCATTTTTGCAAATTAAAACATAATGCACCGATTACCGGGATAAAAGGGAGGCCTCCATGTCTGTCTGGAGGCCAAATAAAGGAACGCACGAGCATCTGTTCACTGCGCTGACTCCCAAAAGCTTTGGTTTCCTCTCCGCCGAGTGGTTCTACCACATCAGCCCTCTGAGATGCCTGAGACGGTGGGTGCCGGGCAGGCCGCAGAGGACACCGGCGGGGTCCTGCCCCCTCTCCACGCTCAGGGGATGGGTGGTGCGTGAGCTCGAGGGCAGGGCCTAGGGTCCTCTGGGTCAGGATGGAGAAGCCCCCGAGCCTGCTGCTCCCCCAAATCCAGCTTAGGCCCCAGGGACACCCCCAGTCGGCTCCCACACAGCCCCCCTCCCCCGAGGCCCAGGAACCACCACAGCCCCTGGGCTCCCTCAAGCAGGCTTGGGGCCTGAGGCACAGACACAGACTGGCAGAGGGCTGGGGCCACAGGGCGTTTATTTGCAGCCACCAAAGGCTGTCCACTTGGGCAGGGCTGAGGCTGGGCATGCGGAGGGCAGGCGGCTCCCTGGCCTTGGCCCTCTCCCAGCCAGTCCTGGCTGTCACACCAGGGGCTACAGGCCCTCTTGGCACTGTCCCCACCACTGTGGTCTTGTCACTGTGGCTGAGCAGGAAGTCTAGGCGGCAGTGGCGTGGATGCCCTCGGTTGCGGGACTGTGGGGAGACCTTGGGGAAGCTGAGGCACGTCCGGCTGAGTACCAGGCCCTACAGCCCTAGCAGGTCACGGGGGCCCTCAGGGAGACTGCACCATGCGCTTATGGGTGTCGAAGACATAGCGCTTGAATGACAGGCTGAGCTCCACGTGCTGAGCGGGCTCTGGGCGCTCGGCACCCTCCTCCTGCTTGGCCGCCTCCCCGTGGCCTGCTCGGCCCCGCTTCTTGACAGCTGTCATCAGGATCTTCTTGGACTCAGGACTGAGGCCACCTGCAAGGGACAGAGACGCTGTCACTCGGCCACGCACCCACCTGCCTCCTGCACAGGCACCTTATGGCCCAGTTCCACCTCCCACCCTGTCCCAGTAACACCCCAGCCTCATGACCAGAGCCACAAGGGACCCCATGTCCCTCTAGTCCCAGCAGCCAGCGGGAGTCCAGGTCCCACACTTCCACCTAAATCCTGCCCCAGCTCCTCCCCTACTGCCTGGTCACCCAGCTTGGGGCACCACGTGACTCCGACCTGCTGGTGCCACGCTGGGCCTGCTCCCCCAGACCCAGCATCCAAAGCCCTAAGGTGGGCATCCTCCTAGCTGCCCTTGGAGATGCCCTCTCAGCCTGTGCGCCAGGAAGGCGGCCCACTCCGGGCTGGGCATGGTCAGATTCCATGCCCTCTGACTTCTCATTGGGTCAGAGGGCAGGAGGGAAGGGCAGCAGGCATTTATCCCTGCCCCCTCCCACCTCAGGCCTCTGTCTTGGCTGTTCCTGGGCTCCTTACAGCGTCTCACAGCTCCCTCTGCCCGGACATCCCTCCCTCTGCCAAAGGGAGAAGTCCCGTCATCCCTCACTGCGGGCCACCAAGAGCCTTCTGTCTGGGCCTTGATTTTATATGATTTGATTAAAGTCCACATTCACAGTATATACGATGTTTTGACGTCCATACACACTGTGGAGTGATTAAATCCAGCTAATTAACAGCCCTGTCACTTTACACACTCATTTTCCTGCTGAGAATATTGAGAACCTGCTGTATTCACAACCTTCAGTCTATCTTACTCACTGTCATCCCCCACAGCCACCATGCTGTGCACAGAATGCCCGACTTTACTCCCCTTGTCCAGCAGGGTCTTCGTCCCCTGTGGCCACCATCTTCCACGTGCCCTCCCGCCCCAGGCCCTGGTGACTGCCTGTCCCCTTTGCCTTGTGCACTGGCACTAGACACGGTGTCTGTCCTGTGCCTGGGCTGGACTTTAGGGTGCTCTGCTCTGCAGCCTATCAGCAGGGGGACGGGCGCTCCTGAGGCTGTAGGAGAGGACGCTGCATGGCCCCCATCAGCCCCCTCCCCTGACAGGGCACCAAGCAATGGTACAGGCCAGGGAGGCCCAGGGAGTGGGGGGTGGACACCCCAGGAATGGGCTTCTGATGCTGGTTCTGATGAGGATTTGGGCTTGGAGCCTCTGCAGCTGCAGCCATTTAGAAAAGTTGCAAGGAGCCGGCAGGAGGGGATGAAGGGCTGGTCTCCGTCCAGTGGGCAGAAGCAAGGCTGTCGTCCCCTCAGACCCCGGCTCCCCGGGAGGCCTGGGGACAGGAGGCTGTCGTTAACCATGAGGGATTGGTCCCCGGGGTGGCACAGGCTGAGTGTGACGGGTCTACAGGCCCTGCACCTCGCTGGGCCCTCTGGTTGGGGTGCTGGGTGTGGGACGTGGGAGGGCCCGGCTGGTGCCCGCGAGCAGCTCCAGGCCGGCAGGTATCTGTGCCTGTGAATCAGACCCTGGCCCTCCTTCTGCAAACAGAGAAGGTGGCTGGCACCAGACCCCGACCAATGGCACGGGTGGCCCGTCTCCCTCTGGTGCCAGGAGGTCTGATGGCCGAGAAGGCATGGGGCTCCCCGGCGTCTGCACCAGCTGGGGAGACAGGCGTGTCCCAATCTTGGCCCATCTCGCCTGGCCGCGCTGGCTCTTGTTACACTGCACAGCTTGAACGCTGAGCAGGCTGAGCCAGAAAATCTATCTGGCTCTGGTGAGGACAGGGTCAGCTAACTGCTCCGCTGCGGTGTTCAGTTCCTCTGCTCTGTGCGTGGCCAGGAAGCAGCTCCTGCAGGCCCCACCGCAGGGGACCAGCCGCCGCTGCTGGGATTTGTGGAGGTGTCGCCAGGAGCTGCTTTGTTTCCTTGGTGGCCTTTCCTCCTCGGCCAGGTGGCAGGTGGAGGGAAGTGCCCAGCAGGGAGTCGGGGGCAGGGCTTCCCCAAGCTGCCTGGACCTCCCCTGGGGGCCCTCTGGGTACACTGTGAGATGGGACACACTGTGGAGCCCTGCCTGGCCCGGCTCCTATGGCATTTGCCAGTCTGAGAAGGGCAGACAGTAAACATCCCTGCGATGGCCAGATAGTGCACAGCGCTCGGGAACTGGCCCCACTCGTCCCGGCTGGGGCGGTGGCTTTGAAGGAAGAACGCGCGACCCAAGGCCAGATGACAGGGACCGCTGCGGAGACTGAGGCAAAGGGTGCTCAAGTGCCAGGCCCGCGAGGCGCCTGTGTGCCGGGCTCTGTCGGAGCAGGTGCCCTGGGCTGAGTGCTGAGCGCCTACATACCTGGCGCCTGCTCTGCCATCCCCTCCTGAGTCCTCATGGGCCCCTTGCATTGAAGAATGGTGGCACTGCCCGTCCCCACCAGCCTCCTGTTACCGCAGGAGTCCCGTGGCTCATGCCTGTCATGTCCTGAAGTCACCTCACAGAGGCCTCTCGCCCACCTCGTAGTTGTATTTCCATGCCCCTGGCCCCCAGCCCGGAACTATTTGATCCTACAGTTCCTGGCAATTTCTACCACACACTGCCACTGCCCCATTTTAACGCTTGTCATGCATCCCTGCTGCAATGAGACCTCTTCGCATAGATTTTTGTCTGGTCACTTGCTGCTGTCATCCAAAACCCGAATAACCCATGGCTCCCAGGTCCTCAGAGGGCACTCCCAGTGGGGACCCCGCGGGCTCAGGGAGCCCAGAGGCAGGAGTTTCAGAAGAGCCTTTATGATGATCTTGCTAAGGGCCCAGTAGGAACCGAGAAACCCCTGCTGGAAATAGGCCTCGTACAGAGAAGCCCCACAGCACCCATAGCACGGAGGCCCTCAGCCCCCACAGTCAGAGCTCAGGGCCGGGGCTGAGGAGCTCAGCGCTCACTGGGCCATGTAGCTATGCAGGGGCAGCACCAGGTGACTGCTGGGTGATGGAGGCGACCAGACCCCAGTCCCCGCACAGGCCACAGGTTTGTGGAGTCACAGAGGGGCTCCGCCACCAACGGGAAACAGGAGGAAACCAGATCCACTTGTTGTTGCAGTGTTTTGTGGGAGTAAATACAACACCTAATAAGCATGAGGGTGGCACAAAGGAAGACGTTTGCTGGGAATTCGGAAATGAAGTCGTTGTGCTCCACAAGAGCCCTGCAGCTCCAGGTGCAGAGAGAGGACCGGGAGGCTGTGTCCGGCTGCTGGGCTCGGGCGTGGGTTGCAAGCTCCCCTTCTCTTCCTTCTACTTCTCTGCATTTCCTCACGTTCCTGCTGTGGTCCAGTTGCTCCCGGCACTGTCCCTTGAGAGGCCCCACCAGTGTGGGCCTGGTGCTTGTTGCACTGCCTGCCTGGGCCCCTGGCGGGAGCTGGCCGAGTCCACGGTACTTGGGAATCGGGAGAAAAGGGGCCGAGGCAGGCACAACAGCGGGGCCAGCTTGATCCCCATGGCCCGGCCAGGGTCTGAGCCACCACCGCGCTCGCAGCACCTCCGGGCCAGTGCCCTGCATCCACCCCTCTAGGGTCTGCCTGGGAGGACAGGGCTGGGCAGCGGGCAGGGCTGCAGGGCGCAGGGCGCTGGAAGTTAGTGGCTCTGACTCTGCAGCCCTGTAAGCCGTAACACACGGCACAGACCCAGGAACTGGTCTCACCCCTGAGGGCGCTCACCGTTAGGGATGACTCTGCAGCCACGTGGGCCCTGGCCTCCCTCCTGGCTCCCCGGCCGTGCCGTCCCAATCAAGGTTGGCCCGTGTCACTTTCCCAGCCTACCTGTGAACCCCAGCTCTGGCACCTTGGAAGGGCTGCCTCTTGAGCCCAGGCTTCTGCGTGCCCGACTTGCCGCATGGGGACAGGGAATACATGTACACACATCCTGCATGCGCACACCCACACCCAGAGGTGCAGAGCAGCAGGGCAAAGGACAGGAGGCGCCCGTCTGCATTCAAGTGGCCCCAGAATGTGACCCTGTCCCCATCTTAAGATCCTTGCAGCCCAGACCCCAGGATGTAGGGGGCGGGCAGCCGTGACCTTGGAGCAACACTGCCTCCCTGGCCTCCATGGGGACACTCTCCCAGGGCCGGGTGGGCCCTTTCTCAGCAGCCGGCCAGCAGCCCCACACAAAGGCACAATGGGCCAAAGGCAGCCTGGGTCCTGGCTCCGGCCGGGTAATCAGGGAAGAATGCTCGAGGCCAGTGCCGCGCAGCATTTCCCAAGCCTGGCTGTGGTGCCGCCCTGACACGGGCCATCAAAGGCCTGCAAATTGCCTCCGGTCACTGGCATGTTGCTTTCATGTTGGGGCCAGGCTGGGACAGGGGCCTCCTCACTGGCGGTGGCTGGCATCTCCAATGGGAATCGAACCCTGGCAGGCAGCTTGGGGTCACTGGCCCCTGGGTGGCCCCCTGGGGCTGGGGTCACTGCAGTCACTCAGCACTTCCTCCGCAGTCACAGCAGCTTTGGAGGGGCTGCAGTATCACAGCAGCGAAGAGCGGAGTGCAGGGCTGGGGTGCGTTGGGAGGCCGCAGCAGCAGGCTGCAGCCGGAGGGACAGTGGGCTCAGCAAGGACAAACCCATCCTCACCTCATGAGGGGTAGGGCGGGAAAGCAGGCGGCGGACAGAGGCCTGGCGCGCATGGTCCCCTGTGCCACGCAGGCGAGGGTCTCCGTGCCCATCCCAGGCGCTCCCGTCTGTGTCTGTGGCTCCCGCTTCTCCCTCCTTCCCTTCCCTGCTATGGATGGCGCGAGTAAACAAAGATGCAATTTGCTTTAAAAAGATAAGGTGATTAAGTTTTTATCAGACCTGTCCCCGCAACAAAAGGAATTAGGGGAAGGCGGCGCGGCAGCCCACGGAGCGTGTTCCGGCGGAGGCTCTCGAGCGCACACTCGATGGTGCCTGCGCCCCTGTGATTGGGCAGCTGAGGCAACGGGCGCTGCACCCCCATTTTGATGTCTTAATGTTGCCTAATTCCTCCTTTAATTTATATTAAGCTTCTTAGCAGCA